GGGGTGTTGTAGAACGGTATATCCATCTGACAGTATTAATGGTAAAGTATTATTTACAAGTTTCCCTAATTATATATTTTTAGTCTAGCAATTAAAATGAGGTTGAATACTAGTGCGTAGCCACCCGGTGGGCTCAGCCCATTCACTAAAAGTTTTATAATTCACACTACTCTGCGCTAATGTCTACCACTTTGAAAAAATTTGGGTCAACGCCCACCCACTAACAAAATCCCGGCTACGCCACTATTGAATACACTTGAAATACAGTTTCTTAGAAAACAAAATACAAAAGGGAAAGAAGTTAAAGTAAATGAGGAACATATTGGTTAAACAATTCTAGGAAGAAATACAAAACACGAAACCTCGCTGAAATTTGTGGAGTATGATTTTGCAGAAGAAAAAAGCTCACAATTCTTAGTGACTGTTCAAAACACAAATTTTCTCCAAGAATCTTGAAATAAAAATATACGTAACGCATTCTGCACAATTTCTGTCTGAAATCACAAGAAATAAAAGTTTTGCTATAATATCGATAAGAAGATGGAAAATGAATGTTTTTCGCCCATGCTCATTTCGAAAATAGAGATTAAGAAAATTGCACTCAAAACGTTGGAAGTAATGTTAGTATCCATCTGTAATCGCTTTTATCATCTATCAAACTGGCAGAATTTTTTCTCACATGAATAGTTTTTGCGCCGTATATTCTAAACTCTTTATACCTTCCTTATAGCACTGCATTTAACAAGGTGCATATAGTCCTTCGATAAGATAGAAGAACCTAGAAAAACGATGTCTAATGTTGTGAGGATTGACGATTAATGAGAGACTACAACCGATTTTTCCTTTTTCCATTGTTCAATTTCCTCAAATGATTCGGGTAATGGTCTGCCTTTGGTTTCGGGTAATGTAAATGAAAGTATTGCAACAATGACTGCCATCATGGAGTATATATACGCTGTGATTTGTTGATGACTTTTTCTTGTACTTGTAGCATCGATAACGGGCGCGAGCAATGCTCCAACTCGACCCATCGATTCGACAATTGCCGTACCAGTACCACGAATCGGTGTTGGGTGTAATTCCGGAGTCCAAACCTAACAAAGAACAATTACAAGAATGAAAATGCTCAAAATATTTGTAATTGAAGAATACATTAAACGTGTGTCCTTACCCAAGTATTGAATACAGCTGCTGATATGGTAAATTTTCCTAATTGTGAGATTATAAATACATTCCATCTATTATTAATATGTATTGTTGTTAATATACATATCGCTGTTATTGAGAGAAATATGATTAACGTGGCTTTTCTACCAATTTTTTTGATCAAATATCCGCCTGTAAAATAACCAAGCGCCTCCACCACGGCGCCTACAATAACTGAAATATATGGATTTATTTTTAACGTTCCTAAACCATAACCGATTTTGAAAAATAATAATAATGTAATAAAACTTATGAGACAGCACACAAATAAACGTTTGACAGCTCCGCGATTCGTAAATAATAAATAAAGTTCTTGTGTGCACGATTTTGCTTGTGCAATACTTACGGTGTTCGAAGTAGATCGTTCTTTAGGAATATTAGCTGTTGGACAGGATGACAGCCACATTTCATCTTTTCGCCCATTAGCTTTTGCTATACGCCGTAGAAGTTGTTGTAATTGTGGCCACCGTTGTTTATCGTATAACCACCGCGGTGATTCGGGCATAAAATAGAAATATGGTAATGAGATGAGAGCAGCATATATTGTAATAGACCATTTCAACAGTAGCCAATCTTTCACTATCCAAGCCAAACATGCTACAATAATCTCACCAAGGGTATAACCAATTAAGAACAATGACGCACCCCAACTTGAATATTTCGAAGTCGATAATTCCATGATTAAGATGTATGCCGCTGTGAAATAGGTACATGTCACGCCAGTAAGTAGTTGATTTACGAATAATAGAATAAATCTAAACGGATAATAACTTTATATTATTAGGAATATTGATGGTTATCTAGAATCTGTTTGTATAAATTTTAAACTTACTGATACTTTTCGTTTAGTATTCGTAGTTGAAGTATTGTTTGTGTAATTATTGAAAACACAATAAATAAACTTAAGCCAATAGTTACCGTCTTTTTTCTCCCGATACTGTCGGACAATCTTCCCGTCAAAATAACAAACGTCAGTCCAAATGACATTGCTACTGCTATCAGACTTCGTTTTGGTCCATCAGAACAAACTAAATTTTGTTCTTCAGTGAATGTATATCCATACGTACCTTGATCATATGTCCAATTCAAACATTTAATTGGTAAATGATTGTCAAATGATGATGTGTACATAAAACAATTTGAAAATTCATTATTCGGTATCCATTGATGAATTAAATTTGCGTGTGTTTCATTTTGGGGATGAAAATGATCATTCGGCCATACAGCATTCGGTAATTGACAACGATATTGTGGCAGAGCTACTGCGAACACGTAATAGAATGAGCATGCTCCGCCACACGTTGCTAATAGTAATAAGAAAAAGAAATGTGTCCATTGAAAGCATCCGAATTCTCCACATTGTTTGATAAGAAGTTCTAAATCTGATGCGTTAGGTAAGAATTCATCAAAAATTGCTGACTAAATGCAAAATGCCATTTAGAATAGAAGATCAATGTAGTCAATGGTCTGTATTGTTTATTGTGGACACACAGGTTGTTTACTTTACCTGCTCATGGATGAGTCCATCTTCTATCATATCTTTTTCTTTATCATAGAATGGACTTGATTGAGTACTCTTATCTTCGTCCTCATTCAACGATGGAACAATTTGTATTGGTTGTCCATTTAGATGATTCTTAACAACGCTCTCAACATTGTTGTCTATAACTTCTTTTTTGTTGTTATCTTGAGATTTATGCAAACCTTTTACTCTTGATGATATATTTAAAACATTCTTAACTGTACTATCAACAGTATCATCAGTTTGAGGATTATCTACTTTTTGAACGCTCATTTTTAGTAATATTTTCAAATTTTCAAATTATATTTGTTTCGGTAATAACGAAACTTTTTAATATGATATCAAGGATGGAAAGAAACAGTATTTATTAAAGTTGTATCCACAACCTTGGGAGTTGACAGCTGTAAATGATTTTTTTTTGTCAAAGCACTGGTTTAGTTTTATATCTATTTTTTAAAAACACATTATAGACTGAATTATACTGCGAAAGCCGTTACAATAGTTACATAACTTTTACTATTAAATTATTTTAATCGAAAACCGAGAAGAAACTCTATATATTATATAGTGTTCCATAAAAGTAGCGACACCTCTGGAACTTAAAAACCATGATAACAACGAACCACTAATTTGTGTGATTATAGCTCTCACCAAATGTTGATCATCCCATCAATATGGACCTTTTTTATAGGATAGTTTATGAGACATAAGTGTTACTGATGATTAACGTATGATATGTCAACTATAATCTGTTATATCTAGAGGTTCTAAGATGTAGTTTTAGGGGTTTTGCATGGAAGAGAATATACTTATTCATCCCCTTGTCTGAAAAGGATTTCTGATACAAGGTGTTCTGTTCTGAATTAGATTCCTCATAATCAATAATCTAAAATTTATGTAATTTATGTGAGAAAAAGACTATTATTTTAGTCTGACATATGCAGTGTAAAGGGTGTTCCAGAATAAATGGGCCTCTCAATATTTTGCCAATATCTCTGACAATTTTCATTGCCAAGACTTGAATTGTTTGTTTAAAAGTTCAATTCTCTACAAAAACCATATTGGACATTTTTTATACATCGTATAAATAAAAGACTATGGAATAAACACTGCGAAGCTTCAGTCTCCATTGTTTTCTAACTCAAAATCTAACGTAAAAACATTTATTTTCAACGCGGTATTATGCATCAAAGTGGGATCGAAATGTATGCTTTGGCTCTTCGAAGTGTTGTCTTTCTTTTCGTGTATCATAGGTTTGTTTTAAACATGATTTTGTGGCACAAAAGGCGATTTTACTAAAATTTACCATAAATAAGCGAATATTTTGACTAGTTCACCCCCGCACAGAAAAAGGAGTTCAGCTATTGAACTTTTTCTGCTCGAATGTAACAAAATAATTATTTTGTTTTAAGCCGAGACAACTCCAGTGCCAAAATGTTCGATTTTAACCGATTCATAACAAATTTTCCGTGTACTTCAAAACTGGAGTTTAAGACCGATGACCGATGAAAAGGCATTCTTCCACAACCGGTCGTGATGATGAAACGTTTTAAATATGGTCATTGGATAGAGCTTTTCAAAGACCACAAAATGGTCATTTTCTTTTACCTTATATCGCAACTTACAAAGGACTAAAATTTAAAAACTATTTTTTCAGCCTAAAAAATAATGGAGACTGAAGCTTCGCAATGTTTATTCCATAGTCTTTTATTTATACGATGTATAAAAAATGTCCAATATGGTTTTTGTAGAGAATTGAACTTTTAAACAAACAATTCAAATCTTGGCAATGAAATTGTCAGAGATATTGGCAAAATATTGAGAGACCCATTTATTCTGGGACACCCGTTATGTTAGTCTGCATGCCATGAAAATTCCTGTACATGTCTGTCAAAAACGCAATCATCGATTACTTACGTAGGTTTTTCTATAGATCAAAACATGAACTTTTTTTAAGATATTCCTGGCCAAACATTGTTTTGCATTTGTTCTAGAACTGTTGTTATGCTACATGGTTTCAGTTTGGAGTGCGACCTCCGCTGGTTGATTACTAAATGGAAAAAATTCACACTACAAATTCACTTCATTCTTTCCTAAAAGCGATCTCAGTTTCATGACGGTATCTTGAGGTCATTACATTAAATGCTGCATAATTCGGAGAAAAATCTATGTTTTAAAACTTTTCTTTTATTCAAGAGATAGAGGAGTATCTGGAGAAGATGAAAAGCTGAACACATTTTTTATTACACAGTTATTAAAGGTACCACCTGAATTGGACTGCCAAAAATCAGGCAGAATAGTGCACTAAAATTCGGCAAAACTCATCAAACGGCTACAAATCGCTAGAACCATGCGATCTTGTTCCGGTTTGCACTTCATATCATAAAGAATAATCTCTTCTACAACTTCTGCACATTAAGAGCTAGAAAACAGGCAAAAACGTCACATGCATACGTAGCGATAATCCATTCAAATTTGATATTTAACAATCTATCATATGGTGAACGCCCACTCGTAGTTGACGATCAGCCCTTAATAGTAGATCATTCCCTATTAGTAGATCAGCCTAAGGTTTGTGAGTTGCAAGCCGGATTAACGACCATAGTCTTTTATTTTTGCTGTATTTTTTGAAAACAAGTAATTATATATTTCGAATCAAGAGTAAGAAGCTTTTTTGACTGGTCACGTTGACAGGACGTATTGTTAGGATTGCATATTTAATTGCAAAACTTTTTCAAAAGATGTTTTTGATCGACTTGACGAGTTCTTCACGTTCACTGAATATTCCGATTATTTTTGAGTACTCATTTTGGAGATGTTTGTACCTGATTGGTTTGCGACAAAAGATAAATATGGAGTCGATTTGAGATTGAGTCTCGATATGGGGCAAAAGATCGATGGCACATTTGCCCGATGTGACAAGAAATATTCTCTCATTTGGAACATTTGTGACATGGTCGATGCATGAGTCTAACTGTGTATGGAAAACAACGAAGTCGTTGATTTCTCTCATCATTGCCACAGTGCATTGCGTGTCATCGTCTGAATCAATGTTTGGATCAAACCAGATCAATGTCACACTCTCTTTGTTTTCATCATTTAGTATTCTCTCACAACTAGTGGCAGTCGTCGATGCTTAAAGTGATGAAGATGAGACTGTCGCCTTAGTCTTAGAGTTCATGTGTTGTCGTTGGTGTGTTTTAAAATTAATGAGTAGAAGAACTGAGATGAGTGTGGTATTGTAATGTTTATGACTGTCACATAACTGTTAGTCTCTGCTCTCTTGCTTTGTTGGAAATACGAACAATGTCACAGTAAAGGAGCGTTCATACTTCCAGTTTGCAGGCTTTGATTTAGTTGGTGTAAAACTCTTCTTGCTGTGGATTGTGTGTGTAGTTTGTTGTGAACAGAATACATCAGTGGAAGAATAATAACACTGTTTTCGTTGTGAGTAAAGGTAATGAAAATAAAAGCGGTGGGGAAGTGTATTTGTTCTAGTTGATAAGAGAATGTCGAAAAGTGTTTTGCTTTCATGAAATGAAACAGCATACTGTCATGTTTGTTTTTCCTAGTGAAACAAAGAGAGAACAGGCGAATGATCCTTACTCTCTACTTCACTGTTTGTCGTCGTTTTTCTATTTTTCTCTAATGCATAGAACATTTTATTCCGTCCATCGCTTTTAAAATATATTAACGGTAGTTGAGCATAAATGTCCTGTTAGATTGGGTCATGGTCAGTAACTACCGAACTCCATTCTTGTATTACTCACACGATGTAGGAGAAGTTCGCACCAGATTTTAAAATTTAGCCTGTGTACAATACAAAACGGCAACTGTACAATATTCAGCAACAGATCCCACCCATTGCTGAAGCTGCGACAACTAATGGCCCTAATTCATAATAAGCTATAGACATTCCCGGCTGTATAAAATCTGGCCAACAAGAAGTAAACCATTCATTTCGTCAGTAACCTCCGAAGCCAATCGATGCTGCATCTGTAAATAATTCCATATCATGAGCGTACACAACTTTTGGATCAAAAAGCGTGGATTCCAATCGCTTAAGCAATATCTCCACATGGGCAGGTCTAAACGATATTCTTTTGACAATGGTACCGTGTGGTGGAGAGTTTAGCTGTGCATGATAAAGAAATAAGATATGAAACAAAGCTACGCCCTGTCGGTATTACACGGGAAGTATGTCCTAAATAGCCGATAACACTAAGTGACTCGCGTTTACTACAACGTTTTTTGGGCAGATATTGCTCAATAATTCATAAGATTCGTATACGCTTTTCCTCGGATAAACGCACCACCATTGACTCACTGTCAATGATAATGCCTAGATACTCCAGGACATTTGCGGCTCCAACTGTTTTTGTGGGAGAAATAGAAACATTTAATCTTTTAAATATCAATGTCAGTAATGCCATGTTAGGATCTGTTTGTTCAGGAAATGCAATAAAGTCATCAAGTAAATGTAAAATATAATTAATTCCATAATTCTCTCGTGTAATCCAGCAGATAGCCGACGAAAACATATGGAATATTTTTGGACTGGAACGGCAACCGAAAACTAATCGAGTATAGAAAAAATATTGACCTTTCCAGCAAATCCCTAAGAAAGCGAGTAAGCGAGGTCTCCTCTTTGTCTATCAAAGAATTGATACTGGAATGAGAAACGTTGTCATAAGGTGCATTAAGATCGATTATCAGCCGTGGTTTAAAGCTGTACTTCCCCTAAGCGACTTCTATCGGTAATAAGTTGCAAATGGTGGTTTTAAAAATGAACCTCTTAAATATCCTCTCTCCAGATCCTTCTCTATTAATTCAGCGACTATTTCAGGTATATTCCTAGCAGAGTAGTTATTCCTGCATTGCAAAGAAGTTGTAGGCAGTTCTGTAAGTCCAATGTCAAAACCATGTGTGAAACCGTCCACGAGAAATTAATGCTTGTTAGGATGGTTAGCTAGCTCCGTTTTCAACTGACTGATGTTTGCTGGTGTAGCTGCATGCATACTCGACACCAACGAAATTAATAGAATCGAATATAAGTAGTAACTTATAATCGAAGGTAATTCTTAATCGTTAAAATAACACCTCATTTATAGCGAACGACTCTAGTACAACTTTCACCATTTTTTCCACCTTGATGATGTTTAGCAAAACATTTCACATAGAGCATAAAAAGTTACATAGAATCCCATATCTGTTCACTAAAAAAGTCATTATCTACGTGGCTTTTCGGCGATGTCAAGTTTCGACCTTCCCTCTAAAAAAACAACTTTGATCTTGTTTTTCTCTGCCTCCACAGAGCTTACACCACCGTTGGACATACCACACACAAGAGCATTTCGAGTAGTACAAATCAGAGATCAGCACGGACCGGGCTTGGGCCGCAAAGTATTTTGGACCGGGTCGAACTTAGAATTTTACGACAAAAGCATTCAGTAAGAGTGCATTTGTTAAAGTATGACGCTTGGTACGGTGTGAGAGCTTTTTTTATATTACTCATATCCAACAGTAATCACTGTTTGTTTAACCTTCATTGATACTCACACTCACACTCAGCCGCACCGGCGCCTTTGAACTTCAGCTATCGTTATACTCAAATGTCGTTGCGCCCAAATGTTGGTATACCCAGTTTTTATAACAGTAATCGTTGCCATCGCGACATTTATTCATATTTATCAGCGACGAAATGGAAATATTTGGGAAATATTTTGTCCACCACCAGAAAGATCATCTATCCAAGCTGTAAGTGGTTCACCGGCATCAACAATTCTAAAAGCAGATGAATTAAATTATAAAGCGTCAAAGAACATGGAACAACTGACACAATCACCTGTCACGGATTGAATATAGCGCAGTTATCTTCAAACAAGGAGTTACGCTACAACACTTGTTATAAACAAGAAAGATTGATATTTTTTGATGATTTTTTGTATCATCTCAAATAATTATTCAAAAAACAACAACTGTGGATTTCAAAACATAGAATATTTAGTGTTCATGTCCTAAATGATTGCTATCAATAGTTATTATCCTGATATTTTGTCGCTTTGGATAACCGCGTTGATTGCAAAACAGCAGAGTAATTTGTTGAATATTGCTCATCAATTATGCTGATGTTTTCAGCACTGTGGAAAATCAAACTAAATACATAATAAGACGGAATGGATTTCAATAAGCAGGAAATAGATCGAACTTCTTTAATCGAAACAAACTGTATTTATTTCTGTAGAAAAATTAGATCATCGAAATCATAACAAAAAATATATTAAAAAAACAAAACGAAACAAAAATTATCTTTGAAAAACACACATACACACGCAAAAACGACAAATACATCAAAAGGAAAATGGAATTAGATTCTTTCATTATTTAAATCTACGATTATAAACATAGACAAAAGACAAACACCGTTATGTACAGAAGTATAAAAAATGTCTACTGCCGCACCATTTAGCACCCACATAAAAAGTCGGAGTAGTAGAATAGGACAAAATATAGGTCACACATGAGCTAATGGTACTTGTTTACTAGAAGGCAGGGAATATTTTGAGCCATTTATTTTTGTATGTTTATGATAATAACTCATTTGATTTGAATGATGAGAATAGCATCGACAAAAAAAATGTTTCCATGTATGCATCGTTTTTCCATTTAAATTAATCCATAAACCGGTAGTTGTACCAACAACGAGTATAAAAAAATATTTGGCCATATAGATAGAAAAACTTGGTCGAGACCAAAATGTTTGTGAAAATGATGAGCTATCACCACCATTACAGTCTGCCGATGAACATAATAAAGTTTCTTCCCATGATAAACGATTTTTTAATTCGTAAAAATAACATGCAATTACCTTAAACAAAAGAACAAAAAAAAATTAAATGCAAATCTTTCATATAGATAGTGTATGAAAACTACGATAGGCCAAAAATTGAAAATGTTAAACTGATTACTTCTGCAAAATTAGTTATCTATTTTCGTTCCGATACTCAAATGCTATTTGACATATACTCATGCTGTAGTAGAAGATCAAAGATAAGAAAAGAAATAATCAAAATCATAATGATTATAGATAGACCTTCTCTCCTAATTTCACTAGACTATGTCTGTACTTACAATAATAGCAGGTAGAATGTATAATACCGAGAATATGCCTATTCTACACATTAATTTTTCTAGTTTGTATATTTTTGTTTTATCTTGTATTTTCATAACATTTCGAATACGTATCAATGATATTAGACCGGTTAATAAAAACATTGTACCAATCGACAAATAGAGAATTAATGGCATTAATACAAATATTTTTAAATATTGAGAATCTGTTACACCCACATGACATATACCCGCAACAGGATCACCGTCAATACCTTTTAACATTAAAATAGCAATTGTTTGAATACACGGAATCATCCATGCAATTAAATGATAATAAACAGAATAATGAGCAACTGCCTCTTCACCCCATTTGAAACAAGCGGCAAGAAACCATGTCAATGTGAGAATAATCCACCATATACATGATGACATTGAAAAATAATAAATAAGTACAAAAACTAGCGTACAATTTGACGGACCAGAAACTTGAATTAATTGTAAATAAGTAGGTGTTGTGGGTATCAGAAGTCGTAATGGTAATGATGATGCAGCATGATAAGGTGATGATAGACGACAGGCAACATTCTCGTGACCGAGTATTAAACGTATTATATAACCACAACTAACGAAAAAATAACATAATGCTAAAAACACAATGGGACGTTGAGGATATCTAAATCTAAAATCAGAACAGAATAATTTAGTTAAAATTTAAAAAAAATTATATACTACGTAGTATCAGAGAACTTGAACATATAAAATAATTGTTTTACCTTGTCATATCCATACAAAATGTGACTAATACAAATATACAACTTATACAACAGATTCCAGCCCAAAATGTTAACCATAATTGAATGATTAATTGTGATTTTTCATCTTGAAAATAGGCTGAACGACATGGTGATGAACAATGTGGAATGATACTATTTTGTGTATCGTAATACGGATCGGATTTATCTAATAAACGATAGCCTATTGTTTCATTACACGTACAACATTTATGTTGGTGTTGTCGTTCAGACGAAAATGTTTTCTCATTAAATATATCTGGTAGGGATGCCGGTTGGTTTTTTTGAATGGATGATGATTTATCAACAACAACTATAGATGACAATGAAAGAGGTGGATTGGAAAATCCATTATTTGTTTGATCACTCTTTCGTGGATCCATACAAATTGCATTATTTCTGTTCCATGGAAACTGTTCGCAATCAAGTTGTTCTGGCCATGGTTTATTCATATAATGAATAAAAGGTTCACATGGTTTCTTGACTCGTTCACACACCTAAACATTTAGATGAAAAATTAAACCTCTTTTTAGGAAACATCGAACGTCTTTTACCTCACGGCATGGTGGTATGGTTTCGGTATAACTTGGAATACATAATGGTAAATATATTGAGCATAGAAAGAATCTCAGATCTGCTGAACATCCAATACCTAACAATGCTGTATATTGATTGATCTAAACAAAAACAAAAAAAACAAGAACTGGTAATTGTAGTAATTAGCAAAAAATAGATGTACCGCATCCAAGGGAACGCAAAAAAATACATTTATATTTGTACTTTTGTAATTAATTATAGAATTCATAGTTTTCAGTCAGTTCTCTTACATTCTGGTATTTTATAATTTCTATTCTAACAATTTGTTCTATTTTTTCTGAATAATTAGTTAAAAGCAATTCGATTTCTTTTGCATCTTTTTACTGAAAATAACAATCTTATGCTGCCTAATGACTTCCAACTATCTGTCAAATGGCCCACGAGAAAGTGTTAAAATGTTTAAAAGTCATGAAATATTTTTGGCAGTTAATATATAACTAATAAGTAGAATTAAGACAAATTATTAACAGCAAAAGACTAGAAAACAAACTGTAAAATAAAAAAAGATAAGAAGACTGTAAATTACAAATTTTTGGAGAGAACTATTAAAACTAAAACAAGTTTAACTAAGTACTAGAATAGCATGATTATCCAAAACGAAAGTACTTGTTAAATGCAAGAAAAATAATATAGATGAGTCTTGTTCAAACTGCGCTTATCTTTGATTAGAATTTATCAAATACGAGAGAAAAAAATAACTGTTTTCTGCTAGCGGTATAAATCAAGAATATTTGTCAACAGCTTATCGATATTAGATTGCAGCAACAATTATCAAAAGAGTTTGAAGTACACTTCTATGTTGATATTTAACAGCGACTCATTTTTCA